CGTTTTGAATCCAATTGCAATCTACGGAATACGTGAAGAGAGGGGAATATCATTAACTATAAGGGAAATAGGATCGTAACTTTTGAAAGCGCAATGCTATTGAAGAAAAGAATTCATAGTGTTAGCCAGTACTGAATTAGGTTCATTCGTTGTAGATTAGCTATGTTTTAAATTTATCATCTCGACATTTTAATTGAGTCAAATTGTTGAATATGAAGTAATGTGTGTTGTCAGTTGGCCGGTGTGGTCGTACCGAACGACGGCAAATGTCATTTGGATACTCGTGGATATTACACGAAGTCTTTGGAACAGGACTATCCGTCAATTGCTTTATTGCATCAGAAGATAAAAGAACGCAAAGCAAATCTTATTTTCGCAGTGACCGAAAAGAATAAACAACTTTATAGACAGGTAATCAACACTATCAGTTACGATTCAAATCATTTATTCGATGAAACGTGTTCAATAACTTGAATATCTGCATGTTTTTTGGAGAATTTTGTGCGGTAAACGATCTGATTCGTTCTCTTTTTCTCGGATCCGAAACGGATCATCTGCCGAATTTGATTAAGTATCAGCAATCAGTTCAACCCGCAACATTTATGTCTTTGTAACGTTATTTATGTCTTTTCAGTTAAGTGAAGCACTACCAGATGTGAGTAGTTCAGTGGGTGTATTGGCTGACGATTCAAGGAATATCGTCACTTTAATTGAGGATGAATATCGTAAAATTTCACAAAAAATCATTATGGTTGACAACGCAAATGCCACGCAAGGAATACGACTTTCGTATCGATCAAAGTGCCTCAGGTTAGGCGTTACTTTGTGTTGATTCTTCTTCTCTGAACGATGCCATTCCCAGATAGGAATGTGTTCGCGTAGTATGGAAATATCGAATGCGTTCTTTTGGCAACAGTTAGAAAGGAACTCGTCGATTTGAAAGAGATTGTTGTTTTGCTACTACATATTGTTGATTTTGGTTATGGAATTCTTTTTGGGGGAGAGAGAGGATTCAATTTTCATTTCAGTGGTCGTGCTCTAAAGGAGACGAACGTTTGCGATGGTATCAAAGTTGGTGATGAGGTGACGTTTGAGGTGACTCTCGAGGCAACGCATTGCGTTAAACAGCGAGATTTTGCACTTCGAATTGGTCCGAGTGGTTTGGATGAGACGTTGGCCGTGGACGTGCACGTTCAGTGTGACTGCGATTGTCAATTACATGTTAGTGATTAGATTTGATATGATGGAACCTCAGTTACGGATCAAAAACAGATTTGTGGATCCAATTATATGCATTAACGTGGTTTGTGTTGTATCCTTTTATTGAGAGCTTATTGCAGATGAAGCGAAAAGTAATTCGAGAAATAAGGCTTAGCTCTATATCCATCCTATTCCTTACCCGCTCATTTTGGAAGATGTTTCGAGAATATTTCTTGTATGAAGATTTTAATGATGAAAGATGTTTATGAGCTATCTGCTTTCTTGAAGTATACAGCGAATATTGAACGGTATTA